TGCCACCTAAACACAATGACTGATTTGTAGTAACACCAAAAACAGAAAAGGTGAAGTTTCAAAGGTTGAACTAGGTAGCCATCAGCCAAGCAACTTGGCTTGTTTACAGTAAATCTTTTAGTTAATTTTACTGATTTCCAACAGAACCACTAAAATAACTAATTCTGAGCCTACATTTAGGGAAAATCCAAGAAATACACACACTAGGGAAAAATCCAAGGGTGTCAATGCTCCAATTCCCTAACAAGCTGTTTACTTATCAGCTCTTTTACCAGTGAAGGAGAACACAGAACAAACCTTCTTCCAGCTGCCAATTTATACAAACAGGGTACCCAGCTGTGTCACTACAGCAAGATGTCCCAGACCTCAAGCAAGGATATGAGTCAGATAATTTCATATTCATGATTTTTATGATAAGAAAATTTAAATCCAAGAACATAATGCCTCTTAGTCCAGAATACTGAAGGAGGCAACTGCCTGTCATTTACCTAGCTGTTATGACCTTGACCAAGACACTTAACCCCTCCTAGACCTCTTAACTACAGAAGGAAGGCCTGGACTAGAATACCTAAGACTGGATTAAATATCTGAGTCTTGATTTTACAAATACCAGTAAAATATAAACTCCTTGAGGGCCAGGATAAGGGTTTTTTCCCCCCCTTCTTCTCTCCTTTTTTCTCTTTCCTCTGCTCTCCTGGTGCCTAACAGGCCCTGGCATAGTAGGAGTTTAATAAATGGTTACTGAATGACTCAGTAGATTGCCTAAAAACCTGGATCAATGTGCTGATCAACTACGATTCTATCCTAGAGGACTGATGAAGAACCATGCTGCCCACCTCCTGGAAGAAGGGTGATGGTCTGAAGATGCAGGGTGAGGTATAAACCTTTGGTCATGCCTAATGTCTAATTTGTTTTGCTGATTATTCATATTTATTACAAGGGTTTTGTTTCTGCTTTATGGCAGGGGTGGGGAGATGAAGGGGAGAGAAAAATAAGTGCCCACTAATTTAAAAAAAAGAAGTAAAATAAAAGTTACATAAAATAAAAAAGAAAATACCCTAAGGAAGAAAGTACTATTGGGCTATCAGTAAGGAAATTGTCCCCCAAGTAAGCTGAGAACATTAGGAAGCTGCAAAAAACACAAACCTACACCATTGATAAACAGCATGATCTTCCTGACAGAGGCTAGTTTAGCACCAAAGGAGGCAACAAGGCTTATAACATCTTGTATTATAATCTCCTAACCCATGAATTAACCAATGTCTGAAGTTTCAGGAAGGCATAGAGATATTGCCACAGAGTACCCCTATGCCAATCCAAGTGGCAGAGAGTGCTGGCTAAAATGACAGCTCAGTGAAAACAGGCACATATGCAGCAGTTATGTCCTGGAGGAAATCCTGCCATATGGAATTCTGTGATGTTGGAAACCATCTTTCTGCTATGGTCAGCCAAAGAGCACATGGAACAAGATAAAGAGAAGGTGAGAAAAAAATGGAATTTGTCTCCCCACCATGAATGAAACAAGAGAAATGTGCGGTCAGTGAAAAGCCAAAAGACTGGGAGCTATGCCAAAAATTCTCAAGGGAGATAAGAAGAACTAAAAAGTAAGTAAGAAGCCCTTTCACTAATTTCATCATCATATCAGGGGAAAAATACTAAAGAGGAAGTAGCCTTGTTATTTTTTTTATTAAAAAAAAAAGAAAAAAAACATCCTAATAGATCCTAAGCTAAACTACTAGACTAGAAGTTCCATGAGGGCATGGATCATTTTTTTATGATCTCTTTCTCTACCCCACAAACTTGTACCACACTCTACAAATAGCCGGTTTTGTTTATTTTTTGAAATTCTAAAATGGCTGAATTTTGGAAGTACTCTGGAAGTAACTGAAAATTTACCTTTAAGGAAAATGAAGAAAAAAATGTCCCAGTCAGAAGGAAATGAAGATCTTTAGCTATGTCCTGAAAACAGATAAATATATTCACTGGAAAACTAAAGCTGCCTGGTGCTTTGGATGAAATAAAGATGACAAGTATCTTATGGCTTGAAGGGGCCTGGCTGGTATATTTGCCACACTACCTTTGGCTGCTATTTTGAAAAGGCATGAAGGTGACACCGAGATGAGGGTGGGAATGAAAATAGAAGGAAAACCCAACTGCCAAAAACAGAAATTGTACTGCACTTGCCATCTAGTTTGTCATTGTCATGTCAAGCACAAGTTAAGAAAGGGAGGAACACTGATACAATAACGAACATTTAAGATTCCCAGCAATCATCAGTCACAGTTCTTTTTTTAAGGCAAGACACAGAACTACTTATTCCACCCCTACTCAAATGACAAAATCTTTGCCTGAATGCAGCTGACATATGATACCTGGACTTCCAAAAAGCATTTAATAGGATCAATGTCTCATGAAAACTTTATCTTTAAATGTTCATCAATTTAGAATCAAATTGCATCATCTAGATGACAGATAAATAAGCCAAAAAAAGGATAACACCTACAACAACTTTATCAAGTTCAGTGCGTAAATGAAACTGATGTCTATATGGCCTTTCTTTACTGTCTCATCAAGCCGAAAAGCAAGTTGTTTTTTTTAAAGGAGATTGTGAAAACTTGCATTTGATTCTAAAATTTGGTGGCATTAGAGTTATCTAATATATGATGGAAAATGGAAATGAAATAAAATATAATTTATCTGGTCTGCATGACTTCTTAGTACTCTAGGCCTAGGCAATACTCTTAAGACTAGAAGTTGAAGAGAGTGCTAACCTTCATTGATAGAGAGTTTCCTTCTTCACTAGGAGTTCCCTATGCCAATAAAATCATGGGTCCAGTCCCTATCCTTATCCCTATCCCTGTAAAAAAACACATGAATCTATAAGTAAGAATCAGGATAACATTTAATGGACCAGGATGATAATGGGGCAAACACTAGCAAGATCCTGGGTGGAGGAAAGGACAAAAAATTAACAGACGGTTAAAAAAAAAAATCAAAACCATAAACAAATAACACTATACAATCCAAACATCACAAGGGAGGAAAGAGTAGAAAGAGAAGTATATATCTGCTATGCCCTCATGGACTATGAGTGAAGAGATCTGGGTTCTACTCTAGTTACTTCCCATTAACTAGAATATGTGAGTTAGGGTACAAGCCAAAACCTTTCTGGACTTTTGTCATCATTTATAAAATGAGGATTTAGACTAATGGTCACCAAGGTTCTTTCCAGCTGTAAATTCTGATTATCCTAATACATGGAGGGTAAGGAATGGTCCCAAATTCATTACCCAAAGGATAACCCATGGTAAAGCAGGCAGGAAAGGAGAAGACCACAAGAAATTTTATGATTTACTCTCCCTATCAGTTAGACACCCTAAAGCCTAACAACAGAAAACAGAAATTCTACTGAATTTGTCATCTGATTTATCACTGTCATTTCAACCACAAGTTACAAAAGATTATCCTTCAGAAGAAAACACAAAGCTTCTTCTTTCATTTAAGATTCTTTCAGAATGGACTGGGGTGGCAGAAGAACTGGGTCAGGTTTTCTTTCATATTTTTTGGTTCTTTATTTTGGATATAATGAAATGCTGCAAGAGCTCAAAAAGCATCATGAGGACATGATATTCAATCTGACAAACATACAGCTTCCAATGTGTCTCTTCTGAGCCTAAACTTAGAAGACTGCCTTTGATTCTGGATAGTAGAATACCAGGATGATACAGGGAAACTAGCAGTATTATACAAATTAAAGGATCAGAGGGATCAATAGAGGAGGGGAGATTGATAGCTAGATCTGTACAGATCAGATGATTAGCTTTCATAGTAGTTTATAAACTCCTGTCTTTGGGGGTATGATCCATATTGTTTGCTACTTCACAGCCGAAGGTCCCAAATTCACCAACTTATATTTCAACATTCACTATCCCTTGCATATCAAATCTTAAAGACCATATTGAATAGCTCATAGAATCTAAAGACTAGAAAGGGACCTTAGAGGTCATCTAATCCAATATCCCAATGAACCGGTGCAAGAATTCCTTCTGCAGCCTCTCTGGCAGATGGTCATCCAAGTCTCTGCTTGAATACTTTCAATAATGAGGTGCTCAATTCTTTGATGAAGAATTTACCTTTCCACTGCTGGACAGCTCAAAATGTAATAAAAGTTCGGCTTATACTAAGCCTAAAGTGCCACCCTGTAACTTCAGCTTTTTGGTCCTAGTTCTGACCTTTGGCACGACATGGAACAAGCCTATACTTCTCCCTTTTTGCACATGACAGCCATTCAAATATTTAAACACAGCCATCACGCATATCTCCTCCAAGTCTTCTCTTTTCCGGGGTAAACACCTCCGGGTTCCCTTCAACAGTTCCTCATTGGAGATGGTTTCCAGATACCCTGGTGGCCCTCCCCTAGAGGACGGGAGGGGGTGGTGGGAATGAGCATAGATGCCAAGGAGCTCCAGGGCACGGAGAGAAAGAGAAAGAAGGGAAGGGGACAAAGGACTAACGGAGTTATACATCAGGACACCCCCTCGCTCCAGTTCCAGTTCCAATGGAGCCTCCCGGAGCTGAGCACAGGGAGGCCCCAGGGATGGAGGAAAAAAGCGGAGGAGCTCGGCGTCGGGGCAAGGCCTCGGGATGGGGCAGGCAGCGCCCGCGGGGGCTGTGGGTTTCGGGTACCAGTGCGTGAGGAGGCTCCGCCAAGGAAGCACCTCCAAAGGGACAAGCTCCCGGAGCGAGGCTCTCAGGGAAGACACCAGGATCGGGGGCGGAGGACGCCCGGGGTCAGGACTAGGTGCGGGGCTGGAGGAGAAGAGCCGGCAGGACGAGCCGAGGAGAAGCGGCCAACAGGGCCGGGAAGGTGGGGGGATCCGCCGTCCCGAGGTCCAGGGGAAAGAGACGGCGTGGATGGGGGATCCACGGAGGGGGATGGGAATGGCACCCAGAGACGAGGCCCGCCTGCCGGGGTCCCAGGCTGGGCTCACGGCCCTTACCTGCCACTGGTTGGCGATGGCGACGTGATTTTCCCCCCGGTTCGGTTCCAGTTCTTCCGCTCTTGCCGGCTGCTCTCATGGAAATGCAGCCGGAACCCCCGGCCGGTGCCGCGCAGCTCCCGCCGCTACCGGCCCCTCCCGGGCAACAAACGCCACGCCCCCTAACAACCAGTTTCGCCACGCCCCCAATCTCGGGGCTACCGTTCATCCATTGGGCCGCACGCCCGCTACTCTACCAGCCCCGAGTTCTCATTGCATCGGTGCCTCCTACACTAGGGTTTGTAGCTCATTGGTCCAATTAGCCGCTCGTCAAGAGGAGGCTGGGCCCCAGGTCGAGTACACTTTGGTAATTGGCCTCCTTTGACGTCTTCGGCCTATAGGAGGCTACTGTTTGAGGGAAGGAATGGGAGGAGGCCGATAGGGTGGGGGCAATTGTGACAGAGCGGGGGTGGGCAGGGCTGGGCAATGCCAGGCGGGAGAGCCGAGGTGTGGGGTTAAAGTCTTGGGGTAGGGGGGGAATAAATGGGGAAAAGCGTAGAGCTGGAGGGAGGAGGTATCCGTGCAGTTTTCCCAGAAGTAGGAGAACCCCAGGAGGCAGCCAGGCATGCGGCCAGGTATAACTCCAACCCAGCTGGCCGCAGCCGTGCAAGGGGCGCACCTTCCATGTGGCGCGCGCTCGAGTTGCACCGTGGTGTAGGGAGGACAAGTGAGAACTGTTGCTGAGAGCATCCCAGGCCCAGCGCAGTTCTAAGACCTTTCTTCAGTTCATCAGGCCTGTAGAAAGAGGCCTCTGATGAGCACAGCTCTAGCAGTGCAGGAGTTGGGTAGAGCATAGAGAGGTTATTAAATAACACAACATGCAAAGCTGAAAATGTAATACAAATACTCTTACGTGACCTGCCAAGGATCACAGGGCCAGTGTGTGTCAGAGTCAGGATCTGAACCCAGATCTAACTGACCTTAAGGCCAACCAGTACACCACACCACACCACACCATACCACAGCTGCCTGTCTAAATACTTGGAAATTTTGTTTCATGTATTTGCTTTGCATATTGAACAAGATATGAGGCTCAGTATCTACTTTCACTGGCTTCTGAAATGCAGCCTCCTGGGTAGGGCAGGGTGGATATGACTATAACAGGAACTCAGAAGGCTGCTGTAATAGGACAAAGTTGTGCTAAAAGTGTCTTATCTCCGATTTCTCACAAAACAGTACTGGCACTTCAATGTCTGTTGAGGAAAGGCGTGTTTTGTAAGGTCTTTTCTAGCTCTAACATTCTATAATTTTATAGAACTTAGTTTAATAATTCTATATATAAGGAAGGGGTTGAAACCACCCCACCCCATTTGAACTTTGATACCTTAACTAATTGAGAGCACATTTCAGTCAATCTAATCACTTAATCATAGACCTCAGAGGAGGGATTGTTAACCTGTTTTCAGAGTCATGGAAACCTTTTCTGTCTGGTAAAGAATGAATAAAGAAAGAATAAACTACTCCAAGAATAATGTTTTAAAATGTATAAATGATACACAGGATTACAAAGGAAAGCAATTATGTTGAATAAATATATTTTTTAAAAAAAGTTCAGTGACCCAAGTTAAGAACCCCTGAAGGCTTAGACTAAATGCTAAAAGGCCTTCCAACTGGAATGATGTTGCATTAGAATCCTGTTAGAATTTTTATTTAGTCCTGTCTAACTCTTAATGATCCCATTTGGGGTTTTCTCGGAAAAGATAGTGGAGTGGTTTGCCATTTCCTTCTCTTGCTCATTTTACAGGTGAGGAAACTGAGGCAAACAGGGTTAAGTGACATTCCCAGGATCACACAGTTAATAAGTATCTGAGGCCAGATTTAAGCTCAGGAAGATGAGTCTTCTTGACTCCAGGCCTGGCACTCTATCTACTGTGCCACCTAGCTGCACCCTGTTAGGATAGGCAGAGGTAGTCTATAAATTAGCAAGTGGGTTGAAAAGGCATTGAATCCTAAAATTTGCAACAAATGTATTCTTCAAGCATATCCTTGAGGAGAAATGGGATGTGGGGGGGGAGGGCCTTAGTTTGACCTCAGCCAGGTCTCCTTTCCTTTTCCATCCTTTGCCAGGAGGAGGACCGTGCAAACTTAAAAAGGTCTGGAAGATTTTGGGCTTCTCATCTTCTCATTGGTGTCCTAGCACCATTCCTTTACCCCTCTTCCCTCCCTAATGGATCAACTAAAGGCAATTCACTCTACTTCAGGGAAACTAATTGAATACCTTACAAATGAGAGAAAAAACTAGCAACCAGGAGCTGTAAGTTACCCCTTTGCTTTATGGGCTCTAAGCTTGAGCCCACTTTCGCCTGAACTCTATTTGTACTGGTGAAAGAAAGTATCATTAATTTTTGGAGGAATGTTTGTACCATTTTTTTTTTACTATAACAATTTAGTAAATAACCTTTTCTAAAAAACTCCTTAAGGCTGGCTGACTAAATGACGGGGGAGAGGAGGGACACATACCAATGGGGGCTCAATTTTATGATAGAGATAATCTCCCTTTACCTCTCCAGGTTGCCCCTAGAACTTTGAGGAGGACATGTGGCCAGGGTCTAGGATTTGAATGATCAAAGTGAGTCAGAGTTGGGATAAGGATCCTCAGAGCTTACATGGATTCATTATGTAGCTGTGATTTCACCAATATGGAGATACCTTTCAATAGTACAAACCTCAATGCATCCATGCCTACCTATACTGTGTGACACTTGTCCATGTTTTCCCATAATCCTTTACAGAGTGGGGTCCATTTACTTGCTGAAGGCCTTTCTCTAGATCTCTTGACATCCTAACAGTAGAGTAAATGTGGCTTCCCTGTTGCTCTTGCCTTATCTTTTTTTTTTTCCAGTCACACATTTCTCTGATTTGCTTCTGAGAAATTCTTGGATTGTAATGTGTGGGAACCAAGTGGTTCTTTCTAAAACTTGGATTAACTTAATTATTTGAAAATATCTCTTAGAAGTTGCCTAATTATAAAACAGTAGCTACTACATTAAGTTGATATGTCAAAGAACACTTAACTACTCCTTTCCTTATATAGATGCAACTACCCTGTTGAGGCAATTTCTAGGATAGTTTCAGAATGGACTGAAATCCATGTGTATTCAGAAACACCCTATCTTCTAGGTACAACAAGATAATAAACCTCTTAGTTATGTTCTAGTCTAGACCTGTACCCACAAGCCTATATCAGAACTGGAAGGAACAATTTGGCCAAATTTTCATTGAAATTACTTTAATCCAATTGTCATACAACTGAATAACTATTCTTATTTGGTAAATCTGTCTTCTTCAGGTTCTCTTTTGGAAAAGATAAATCTATGCCTCAGTAATAAAGACATATACCCAGATTTTAGTGAAAGGGAAAAGTAGCAAGATCTGTGATTTTTATCAGCCCTGGGTGTCGATGTAGGAACTTTTTTGAGATCTTATCAAAACTCATACTTAGTTGATGAGTCCTGAAGAATTGCCTGTGGGACTGACAAGCAAAGATGTCAGAGTAGGAGGAAGCCGTACAGTCCAACTCTTCCAACAACGACTCCAACAAAGATCTAAGAAGAGTACCATATTGAATAGTGATCAAGTGATCAAGAATCAAGAAAGAAGACTCAGGGAAGTGACTAGGGCAGGAATTGTTTAACAGGGGTGGGCCAGAATCATGGGCTCAGTCCCTGGGCTCAAAACAGGTATGTAGTTCTATTGATCTGACCTTAAGTGGAATCTTATATTCAATTCCTGGGCTCAGAACAGGGGCAAACAGACAACAGTGTCACTGTGAACCTGAAGAAGTTTTCAGCTAGCTAAGGGGCTGGGACCAGCAGTGTGTACTGGAGCCCCATCCAGGGGCAAGTCTGTCACTGTGTTGCCTAGACCCACACTGGCAGCCTGAAAAGTCCAGGATAGCACCAATCAAACCACACCCTAGATCAGACCTCATAGGATCCACCGAAAGTTTACAGCTTTCTGGACTAAGCCACCCCTATGATCTTTGAAGAACACAGCGTTCAATACCTGGAGAACATAGCATTAGGATTTCAGATAAGACAAGCCAGGGCAATACAAAACCACAACAATCCTGTTAGAGGTATACAGAGCCTGGACCTAACACAAAGTCCCAATGTGTGAAATAAGACTAGAAGAATGAGTTGCAATGATAAAGGGCTATTATGATGCCAAGGATACCCAAGAAACAAACCTAGAAGTGGAGAGTAATTCCAAAATACCTATAAGTAAAACCTTAAAGGAAAACACAAAGCTTGACTACAAGGTCAACTAGAATCCCTAGAAGAAAATAATAAAGAATTTAAAATGTTACTAATGAAATTACAGTGCTAGAGAAAATAATTGGAAAATAAATGAGAGTTTTGGAGGAAAAATTTGGAAAGAGAATTAACAGCCTAACACAAGAGGTACAAAACCTTACCTAAGTAGACTCTTGAAAATTAGAATGCCTCAGCGGCAGCTAGATAGCACAGTGGATAGAGCACTGGCCCTGAAGTCAGGAGGACCTGAGTTCAAATATGGCCTGAGACCAAATACTTGACACTTACTAGCTGTGTGACCCTGGGCAAGTTGCTTAACCCCAATTGCCTTAAAAAAAATTAGAATGCCTCAAACAGAAGTTAATGACTTCATGAGACAATAAGATTAAAACAAAATCAAGGGGCAGCTAAGTGGAGCAGTGGATAGAGGACCGGCCCTGAAGTCAGGAGGACCTGAGTTCAAATGTGACCTCAGATCAAACGCTTGACACTTACTAGCTGTGTGACTCTGGGCAAGTCACTTAACCTCAATTGCCTAAAAGTTTAAAAAAAAACCCAAAATCAAAAGACTACAAAAAGTAAAAGAAAATGTAAAATATTTCTTATTTAAAAAATGGACTTTGAAGGTAGATCGAGGGGAGATAGATAATTTAAGAATTGTTGGATTACCTGGAAGCTATGAATTAAAAAAACAGAGCCTAGATATCATATTTCAGGAAATCATGAAAGAAAATTTCCCAGACCTATTAGAATAAGGGGCAAATGAAAATCAAAAGAATCCACTGTTTACCTCCTGGAAGAAATCCCCAAAACTCCTAGGAACATTTTAAC